GTATGCTTACTTAGCTAAAATTAGCTTAATACTCAGTATTAATATTGTGCATTATGTATCATTGTGAAAAAACTGGTTGTGGCTATATGTATATTGCTAATCCTCTAACAATAACTGTTGAATGTTTAATAAATTTTTTTTCAAGTCCGATTCTCACTTTGCAGGAGTAACTTTTGCAGTGCTAATTTTTGAGTTCAATTTCGTGTTTACGATGATTACATGTTTTAACTATATGCCATATCACGTTAAAGGTCATATGTTCTTCTTGTATGTAGAGTCGAGTGCCAAAGTAAACTTAGAGTTTCCAAATTGACAATATCATTTGTAAGGCGAACACAGCTCTAGTTTCAAGTCCATAACTCGTAATTAGCCCAATCACGACACGAATAGAAAGAGCCGTTGTCAGTGGCAGCTCTAAGCCAAAGAAGTGTATATATCTGAAAGTACATAAGCAATGCCAGTAAAAAAACTGTTAGTTTTAAAATGACGAGTATCAACGAGATTGTTTAAGCAATACCATTTCGTTATATTTAATTTGTTTTAAAGATTTGTTCCCTCGAGTATAGTTAGGTCATCTGTTCGGCCTACAGATCTACCTATTTCTTATTAGCCCCGCTTTGAAGTCCGTTTTCAGCGAATCTAGTTAAAACGATGTGTCATTTTCGTTCCGTATATTCGGTTCGTCACGAAATACAGTAAACAACCAAAAAATAAAACGGGATGGAATATTAGAATAATTTTAGTTGGACTAGATTACAACCAACATGTTTGGTTAAAACAATTCACTGTCTGGTGTAGACATAAAATAAAAAAAAATGGTAATCGGAAGTAAATTATAGCAAGTTTTGCACCCCTCGACCCTAGATATAATGAAGTTTCACCAAAATCTGTGTCTTCATTATCCCAGTCGGGGCAGAAAAATAGGACGTTAAACCCCATATCATTTCATTTGGTTATCGTGTGATTCAGTTAGTTTAACAATTACATACTAGTTAATTATTTTCAAGCATTAGACCAGAATTTTCAAATAATAATATAAGGATATTTGTGTTCAACAAAAAGACTTTTTGTTCAAATTGTCAATCTATGCTAGTAATAATATGTTATTATCTTTGGTTATAAACGTGAATTATTTAAACATATCTGTTTTATATATGTTTATATATTTTTTTTTATCTAAGTGCCTCGAGTATCATTTCATTAACATTATTATGCATCCTTTATCTAAATATACATCCTCTATCTCAAAATACATCAATTTGTCTTAAAGGTAAATTGGCCGTGATAGCTTGAAGAGGTTTATCACTATGTATATCCATAGTCATTATTCTTTTCGTACACTGTACAGCTTATCAACCCAACTGACGTTCCGTAAAACAGTGTAATAATATAGAACGGTTTTGTGAAGATCAATTTATGTGTTAAATATTCTATCTCATATACAAAGCGTTTCCAAAATGTTCAGGATTGTACGTGATATGTCACAAAAGGTAAGGTCAATAAAAGCATCGATGATTTATAATAGAACTAATAATATGTTAATACAGAAATCGTTACAAAAGTGTTTATGCATTGAAAATATATTCTATATACCATATATGTCTACCTGTCCATTGCGTAGGTCGTAACCGTTAGTCAAATACAAAATCCAATAGGCAACATACCGTAAAGTTGAACAATAGTTAGTTGACTTTCCAAATGTGACAAATGAGATCTCCAAAAGCGTGAACTGAATTCAACTATTAAATTTGACCAAATTTCAATGCATAGTATATTTGGAAGGCCCGATCGGGTTTATCTCGGTTTATTAAAATTCATAGCTGTACTTTAAAAAAGTAAGCTCAAATAGGCCGCGTCCTTACAAACCATAACATTTAGTCGTTAAAGGCGATTCACTGGTATTATTCAAGCAGTGATACTGCTTTAAAAAAATGTGTTATTTGACAATCCAATCTGATTACAATCAGATGACTATGTCTGATACTATACTACATCAATGCAGCGCAAACCTCTATGGGCAAAGTAAGTGAAGCAGCGGCCAATAAGCTGATAGATGTTTCAGGAATATTATGTCCTTACTGTTGACAAATATCGCTATCGCTTCATTATCTGGTTATCCGCCACCTCGTCATTAAGTCCACATACTATAATAATCCAACTTATTTGTCTAGATGTTGATTCCTTTTTCGGCATGTTAGTTGCACTGTAAAATACCATTTTGTGTACAGCTGTGTTTTCTTTGAAAGTAAAGGTATCCAAATTATTTCCGACAAACTCAATTAGAAGTATAGAAAATGAATAACATTTCATCTGGCTTTTTCACTCTCGAAAACCCTTTGGTCATTTCACAGGAAACCAACCCTGATTATACGTTGATTATAATTTATAGTCCTGAATCTTATTGTATTGTCGGTTAACTCTTTCGCTGGTATAATGTCCAAGGCATATTCCAAACACGATGGAAATTACTGGAATACTTCAGGGAATGCAAATTGGGAATTTTGTACTTGGTTACCCTTTGGAATCCAATGTAATATACGCAGTATTTTATATAAAAACATCTTGTAATCCCAGGTGTAATAGGATTATTGTATATTAGGATGCGTGTAACTGTATGTGTTACATTTAATTACATGATAATAATTGAGACCAATCACATTACAACATGGGCCACCGCACGCATGCACCATGCCCCTGAAGCAACGACCGCTAGTTTTACAACATCCAGCCGTTGCTAGCTTAGACCTAAATTCCCGGACTTTTAGGTAGGTTATGTCGCTTTATCACCCACGTAAATAATAGCGTTGTCCGATCAGACGTCGGTATACAAACACAGAAAGGGATAGATACGTTTACAGTCGTTGGGAGCTTTCTTTTAGTGAACGCAATGAAACCAAAAGAAAGGCAAACTTTCTAAAAAATGGAAGAAGAGAAAAGTAAATTAGAAAAGTTTGGACTAAAATGTGAAGTGGGTTATAACGGAAAAGATGAGGTTGAAGTGGAAAAATTCCAACATACCTGACACTGAACGAACCTGATTATCACGGGTAGATATTTCAGTTGGAAAGCGCAAGACTTGGTATTCGCGATAATATTTGAATTTCTATGGTTACGTGTGCAATGTGAAGTAAGACAGATTCCCCCAGACAGTTGCCTTTTCGCCTACTCTTATTTCAAGGTCCCGTTTACTTTGTACCGCAATATGGACACGGATGCATCTCGGTTTTTCTCCACAACCGAACGATTTGACGCTTGTAGTTCGGCTATGCATAGCAATCCCCTCTTTTATCCCTTTTAATGACAAGTTTTGTTGACTTTTTGAATTCGAAGAAGGGTGTTTCAACCAAGTTACATGTTCTGCCAGGTTTTGGTGGTAGGATCAGCTAGGCGATAAACAGACATGATTATGGAAATCACTTATACGTAAAGGGTGCCCCAGCCTAAGATTCATTTTATCATATGAATTTAATATCTTGGTCAAATTTAACATCTTGGTCGAATTTAACATCGAATTTAACATCTTGGTCGAATTTAACATGGTCGAATTTAACAAATTTTAACATCTTGGTCGAATTTAACATCTTGGTCGAATTTAACATCTTGGTCCCTTTGTGGTTATAAAGATTAGGGACATCGGAATGTTAAAAAACGTTATGCACCAAGGAACGTCATGGATTTGAAATCAAAGACATTTGGGGAGAGAATTACTAGTCTTATTCTTGGTAATTTTTAATGAAAAATATTACCCCCTAAAGTTTAGATTGCGCTTCATCTCTGAGACTTAAATCACTATCTACCCAAACTGGTTATGTTCGAATTTCATACTATTATGTAACGATATGTTATCAGGATTTTGTGTCATTTTAAATTCGCATTATTCCTTTCTAAATAATCGTGCACCCTTCATATTAACTGTATGTAGCTAAGAATTTGTATGTGTCGGGTTTAGTTTTGTTATCATGAAGATAAGTGTAGTAGTACAGTGTCATACAGCCAAAAATTACGCTGGGTTATTATTTTTTTCATTTTCTATTTTATTAACTAGGCTATGCCATTCAGCGTGAATTTTTCATCTTTCTGAATTCGGATCACCCAGACCTGTCAATTCGCTGGCGAATAGTACGAAGACTGTTTTAGAGCGACCAAGAGCACGCAGTTCCAATGATATTGAAAAGTTCCAAACGGATATGAAATACAACATGAACGGATATTTTTATTTGAAAGGAAATCATGGCAGGATTGTTGTATATATACAAACATAGTTTTGTAACTATCAATAGTTTTCGAGATTTTTTCAGCGCGAAGCACCCCTAAATGTATCAAGATTCGAAAATCGCTCATCGGTTACAACAAGAAGAAAAAAGATGTAATTAATTAGAGATATTATCAAATATCCTATCACATAAATATCAAAAGTCCAAGGACTTATTTTTGTGAATTATTTTTTCCAGACGCTTGCAATACAAATTGCAATGAAAAAAAATGTCGGATTTAGACTTGGTGGGGCTGTGCACTAAAAAAATAACACCAGAAGGTCTCACAAAGATACATAACAAAACAGGATCTTGGGTCACCTCTTAAATAAAAAATGTTAAGGGCATACATGAAAAAAAAAAATGAATTTTTTTTTTAGGTTTCTCTGGATTGTTAAACTAAAAGGTATATCTTGTTTAGCTTATGCCTAAATCGGGCACTGCAATCAAGGCTAATATTTTGTCTGCGATTACACTTTATTGTAGAAGCGGACGTTGAATAAAGCTGTTTCGCACAAACACGTCAACACACGTCAAATCCTAACATAATCAACACGTAAATCTAGTGTAGGTGATTAACATGTCTAATTATCAATAGAAAGTCACGGCTTATTTGAAGACTCGTTCACACTTCATTAGACACGGTTAAATGACAAAGGTAAAACAATAGAGACATACCAAGTAGATATGCGCAATAACAGTGGTCAATTGGTCGTAGATGGCCAGACGATTGAGTAGTCATTTCTCTTGACAATTGAGTGAGATGTAGGAGACTGTAAATAGTTGACAGCTACTAAATAATTGTTAAATCGTGTTGACCAGGTTAAATGACTTTAGCAAGATGCCCTTTTGATTTGAGTAGCATCTCGACGTTATCACATCGGTTTGGGATCTACGACATGGAGGAGGCAGAGAAAAATAGTGGATTCATGAGAAAAATTACCTGGTCAAATCCTTTCAGCAAGATCAACTTTGATTTTCGATGTTTTGAGGTAGATGTTTTAGTTTTGTGATAAGCTTAGGTATAAATAATAAAGATTCAATCTCACTGTCAGCAATAATATCTGATGTAGATAGAGTGAGTCCGCTGCATCGAACAATATTATGTTTTGTGCTTGCAAATGATAAAAGACCACCCGTGGAAACGTCGCTCTATGTATAGTAAACCAGTAATTGTGTTCTGTATAAATTTCGTGTTGATTTTGTGTTCTCGGGGATTATATAAGATTTTGATCGTTTGAGCTATCATTGTTCGTTGGATCAAATGAAATTTTATGTCGGTTCTCGTTTTCATTAGCTCGAATGAAGCAGAACAGTAGGACGTTATAAAGAATTCATTTTATTTGCAATCCCCTCGTTCGTCAAATTGAGGAAATCAAAAAATATTCTAGTCAGAACGAGACATCTAAATTTTAACCAGAGCTTCTTCTTCCTGTGAGACTTTACACCCATTTCCACCCAGAGTGATATCACAGACAAATCATTCAAAAGAAACTTGCGTACTAGTCACCGGTTTAGGGGCGGAGAGGGGGGGGGGGAGGTCTAGTCCGGCATAGGGTGAGAACAGGTAGGCGAGGCAGAAAAAGACCACCTTTATCTCCAAGATATCCTTTTATGGTTAAAACTCCGTTTGAATTGTCTTCACGGCAGCGGGGTCTGGAATTTTTTTAAAATATAATTAGTGTGGAAGTTTATGTCAATAAATGTACCGTACAAAAGTTAACTATAAATAGTTTAGTTCATTTAGTCATGGGTGCCGCGATGGCTCAGTGATTAAGGCGCTGTCTTGTTAACCTTGGGGTTCCGATTTGGTTTCGAGCCCGGTGTTTGGCGTGAAAGTTCCGCAGTAATTTCGGCCATGTTTCCCCCTGTTAGTGGTGCAGAAAGGAATGCTGGCAAAAAAACGGCGTTTAGTCGTTCGGATGAAACGAAAAAAACTAGGTCCGTGTATACATTGACGTGCACGTAACATAAGTCCTCCTCATTTTCAAATCTAAAAATATTGTCATTGCTAGTAGTAGTACATCGAAAGTCATACAAAAGTCATACGTTTCGTTAAAAATAAATTGTCAGCATAACAAGATGACCCAATTAACCTCTTTAATTCCAACATAACAGAGTAAAATTATAAGAAACTAGGAAGATGAAATGACGGGAGTAAAAGCTTATTCTTTCTTAATCTTTCATCATATCCCGATCCAATTTATGGCGGTTCTTTCACCCATTTAGGTCTCAGTATATTATATTTATAAACCGCTAAACAAAAAATTTTGTTTTTAAAATATTTTTTTACTACCTCACTATGTTATCTACTATAGTTTTACAAAAACAAGCTCCAAATAAAAGAAAAATCAATAATGAAGAGTGGTAGTCAATTTTATGTTCAATTACTACACTATACAGTGTAGAGACCACAGGAAAGATGAAAACCCTGTGGTAATAAGAAGTTCCATTCCCTCCGTTTCGACCCCCACACCTAACATAAAGTTTAAGGAAAACACGTTAAAAACCCATTAACCTTTTAAAAAGTACAGCAAAATCGAGCCACACATAAGGAAACAGAAACTGTGATTAACTCAAAATAGATAAAATGTCAGAGATATTACGATAACACCATACATTATTTTAGGATGAACTGTAAACGCTTTAGGAAATCCCTTTTGCCCATCGGCAATGAGGCATAGTTTTTCCTTCTAAACACTTTAAAAGGTTACCAATCGTGGCCAAGAACCCAATAAACAGCCACATAAATGACCCGAGTTATCATCTTTACACGAGACAAGCGCTAATTGTCCTCCAATATTTTCTTTTTTTCTCCTACGCGTCTACAGAGTTTTCAATATAAGGACAGCTATTGCTAATGATGGTACGTGCAATTAAAGTATACAAGTTCGATTTTGTCAATAATGCTGTAATTATTATAGCAAAAACAACACATTAAAAATGGCGGAGATCCTTTCGTTTTCTATAATGGTTATCGCTGTAATGCTATTAATAAAGAGGCACTATCAATTTCACCAAGAATATATTATGATTGACGAGACATGATCACTCTTATCAAGAAATTAACTTCACTAATTTGAACCTTCCCGTGAAAGCCTCCAAAGTGCTAACACATTTCTAAGGTTTTTCGTATTGTTCGAACGACTAGACACAATTCATTGCCAGGCCCTCCTTTCTGCTCCGCTAACAACTGGAAATCACGCTGAAAAATTCGGGGGTACTTTTTCGGCCAATACCGGAATCTAATGCCGGATCTCCAGACAGTGAATCAGTTAGTCGCTGTGACCCCCGAAAAAAAAACCACTGCTGAAAATATATTTGTTTTATATATTCAAGCTTTATTAAACTAAAAGCTAAATGTGAGAAAAATATGAATGATAGAATATTTTCATGTAGTTTTAGATAAATATTGTACTTCGTGTAAATGTTACCTAGGAGACAATAAATAATCTGATACATGTGTATAGTATGGAAGCCTATAGCTACCATTCATAATTTCTACTTTTCGCCTCTTCACAACGCGAAAGTCGAAAAGTAGAAGTTACGACAAAATGTGAGGCGACAACACGCCACGCTATACAAGCCAAAATCAACTCGAAAATAGGAAATAGAAATAAACCACAGCGATAATAGCGCCCCTCGTTTTTCCTAATTTCTTATTTTCGACTTGCATTTTGGCTTGTATACCGTCTTGTCGACGATAGTATAGAGAATTTATATCACAGATAACGAGATTATATCCACCACAGTGTAAAATACGTGTATAATTAGGTGTAAATATAGCTTAGTATAATCTATATGATGTAGACATTAATATGAGTTCTGGTTGTTCTTATTCTTGTTTTTATATGAATAACGACATTAGTCCTTTTAATGCGCACTCTTTCCTACCAACACTTTTGACAAGGTTCATCAGTGATTGGGATGTTGACATACGAAAGTTACACCGCTTGGGAACAAACACGAAGCTATAAATTGACTGACAGTGATCAACAATTTTAGACGAAAATCTACTTCTAGAGTGTGATATTATTATTCCATAGTATACTAATTTTGAATATGGGGGTCATTCAGGGCAGAGATCTATTCTCAAAGTAAATAGTTCTCTGTGTACAGTATGGAATGTTGTAAGCTTAATTACCTAAAAGCTTTGTTCACATTGGCATTGGGTTGATTTAGGATCCACAGGAACCGGACCTTGAGCGATACTGATCTTTTTGTTTTGTTGTTCTTCTTGGGGGCGAATAAAGGTTCCTCCAATTCACTTACGACAGACATGAAACATGGCATGCTTGTTCCTTGAGCAATTGTGCGTCTGTTGCGGACTTTTTCGATATGATGCCACAAATCGAATATGACTGTGACGACGGCATGTTCGGTTCCCACATGGTCCATAACATGCTCGTTTATGTATTCATGCACTATTTTTGTTAAGTGGTTTTCCTTGATTGACTCGTACATTTTAGAATGGTATACATTTTTTACATTTAAGTAGAATAAGAGATTTATTTTACTGACGAGAGTGATTTATATCAGATTAATCAAAATAGATATAGCTGTTTGGTTTGGGTAAAAAATAAATAAAATAGATTTTATATGTTGATTTGTTTTAGGCGATGGCAATCTGTCCGCGTTGAAACTTTTACCACACCGTAAGCCCCCCAAAATAGAAACTACAATTTGTAAACCCCAGCTTAAACTTAAAGAGACATTATGGAAGATTAGATAAAGAGCGGACAGTTCTCACAGTAAAAGTGAAAAACTAGATATTGTAAAGAGAATATGCTGAAAATTTCAATCAAATTGCTCCATTCTGAACCGACATATAAGCGTTTGAATTGTAGGCCTAGCCTCGATCATCATTGCTAAAGTCGGCACGATAAAAACATACACGTAGTCTAAATTATCCAATTTTGGATTAATCGCCAATGAACGTTGAGCAGCAAATCGGATTCAAATCTACTGAAAATCCGACACATAAGATGGCGTCCAGAGTTGATTAAGGTCTTTTCATGTTAATAAATATCTAATTAATAGTTTATATAACATTTTAGGCCTAAAGAAAGAACTGCAATAGGCAGATTTGGCTCTTGCATAATGTATGTCTAATCTTCAAGGCAAGCATTTATTCAACTAAAGCTTACACCACTACTATTCTGTCACTACAGATTAACCAAATTCAAAGGATACATATTGATCTAAATCAATAAGGTTTAGCTTCTTTCCGCTGTTTTCTTTTATTTTTAACGAGGAAGAAATATAATGTGTCCAATATGTCACATGGAAATCCAGATGCTTTTAAAATAGAAGCACACTTGACAGCCTTTATTCATTCTTGTCATCCTGATCAAAATGCTAATCCTGTATATCCATTAAACGATTTTGGAGAGCGCCTCAAATTTCTAGGCTAAAAACTTAAATTCCGGACACTAGCCTTAATTATAACCTCTCACATTTTCAACACGCCAGTTAATCAATGTCCGCGATTATTTAAACTCTTCAAGGTTACAAATGGATCATGTCTACATTGATGTATGAGAATAGATCAAACTTCTTCAGCAGAGATAAACGACACAATATTTTACAGAACACACTTTATCTTCAGCTGAATGCAATTTATTTAAAGATGCATTATGCAAGAGCTAAATATGTCTATGTTGCAGATTATATACATTACTTTTTAGAAATTTTTATGCACTTGGCAAACCCATAAACAACTCTCTAGTTCATTCGGTGGCTGAGATATTAAATGGATTAGACCATTCGCGCCATATAATCGGTTACCGTTAAAATGGACAACATTCAATAAAAGGACAAACAATTCAGAGTTCGTTTTTGATCATGGCAATGATACTAGACAATCGGCTGTTTCATGTCAGAATTCGAACACTCATAACTTCGGTCTGTAATTTTCAAGATTTTCAATTTTCATTATCTAGTTTTGAGCTATTACATAAAGAACGGACAGCTCTTTATCTAATTCGTACATAATGTATCTTTAAGTAGTGAATATATTTTGTATTAATTAAATATGCATTAACTTGATATGCTGTTGGAATAATTGAGTGTTTTCGACATACTCCATATTTTTTGTTATAAAACCTTGGTAATTTGTCACCTAGGAATTCCATTAATATTTCATATATTTCATATCAACATTTAATAATTAAATTTCCACCCATTAATCGTCTTTAATGCGAGAGAAGAGGCGTTTCCGCCTACTCCTATACAATATCCAAACTGTCAATTGTTAGCTCGAAGGCACCTCGCCTGACAAGTGAAGACTTGGTTTGAAATATCCCCAATGGTTCTTCTCGACCCACACCCAATCCAGAGAACATTGCCCTATCCGCTCAACCACTCTTCTTCCAAGAGTGCTGCATCACCCCACGCCATAATTATATGTAAGCTCTGGAACTGATGGTGTTGACAAGACTCAACATTATAGGAAATCAGAGTAAAACTTTGTCGGACTTCATAAAACGAAAATGGCAAAGATTTCTGTGAAGTGTTGGAACCTTTCTTGGATATCAATAAAATAGAAAACTGGACCTGCAAGCTGAAGATTCGACTTACAAAATAATAACCCATGCACACAAATAGCTCATACGCGCGACAAATATACTTTAACAATAACGTATTTGCATTTACGAAATATGATTCCATATGGTAATAGTAACCCAGCTTCATGATCATCGTCAATTTGATTTTAAATCTTTTTTTTATGTTTCAGATCAACTGGAAGGATAAGGAAACCTATAAAAAGTACCTCATCCACGTCTTTGTTATCTTCGTTTTCATACTGTCCTTGATATTTGTTAGTCTTGCATGGTATTACCACAACGAAACGGAGAACGCAATTGCCAGTAGTCAGCAGATCTTTTTCGACCCCAGGCTTCGTGTATTAACCCTATCCGACCCCAATGGCCATGATATGATCAAAGCCCAATTAGGTCAAGAAATTCCCTCTTGGCAATTGCCTCTGCATTGTCCGCTTATAGAAACGGGTGATCAATCTAAGAAAGAGTGTTTATGGAAGAGACACGCTGTTCTTCGAGTCAACCATTTTTACTCTCCAGATAAAGACATCCAATGCTACAACGTTTCTTGGGAAAGTCTCAACCCAAAATATGTACCCTATGATTGTTTTGATATTGGTGACGTTCAATGGTTCGGGTCATCTAACCTAACTTCCGGGTCGATGCCCATATCAGGAAAGTTTGATTACAATTCTAACGAATACAGTGCCGGAAATGAAGGTGTCCTTCAATCGGCCGTTGAATTCTACTGGATTACCTCAAATGCCGTGGGATTGTTTGTGAACAATGAAATACCGACGCATGTCAGATGGAATACTACTAGAGAAGGTCAGATGTGCCTTGTCGCAAACTTCACGGTACCGTTCTATGACCAAGATGACAAACGTTTGCCTGGACTAAACTACACTCTTTGTAATGGACACGACACCCTAAAGACGCATACTTTTATGCGGAATCTCCATTCGGACCCCGAAAAACTACGCATGATCGACACCAAAACATTACAAGACCCTCACTGGTCAACAGTTGCAGAGAAAAAATCACGTCTCATAACGCAAGCAGACGTCGAAGACGTTGCTAGGTCAGTAGTTAAGTACGGATTAAATTGTAGTACAATTCAGATTGATGGAGTATGGCAGTCAAAATTAGGCGATTTAGAGTTTGATGCATCAACATTTCCAAATGTCACCAGTATGATGGAAATCGTCGAATCTTCAAATTGTAGTATATCCCTTGAAATAAACCCATTCTTTCATTTTTTATCTGAAAATTATGATCATGGTGTTAAGAACAATTTCTTTGTACGGGATTCTGGTGCCTATGTTCCTGGGCTGGTCCATTGGCAGCATGGTATTGCGTCAGTCCTTGATGTTTCAAATGAAAAAGCACACGAATGGTTTGTCAACAGTATTAAATCCATTAATTCGAATTATAAAATCGATATTCTAAGATTCACCTATGGCAATGCAAACTGGCTTCCCCATAGACCCCATTTTAGCGTGCTAAACGAAACTCCTAATGCCGTTAGAAGATTGTTCACAAATCTAGTCTATTCCGCCAACCCGAAACTTGTCATAGATAATACAGCGCAAACACAAAACGTTGCCAGTTTACTCAGCGTTAAAGCATCGATTCTAACCATGGGCACCAAAGCATGCATCAGTGACGTTATCCCCAAATCACTAACACTCGGGATCTTGGGCTATCCCTTTATTATATCTGACGGATTCAGATCTTACCACGATAAAGTCAGTCTAAACACTCCAAATTTACCAAGCAAAGACCTATTCATAAGATGGATGCAGCTATCAGCTTTCTTTCCAGCAATGAGCTACTCTTTGAGTCCATGGTCATTTGATGACGAGACAGTTAAGGTTTCTAAAAATGCGAGCGTTCTTCACGAAACCCTTATTATGCCAATTATTAAAAGCATGAAAATGAGGCAAGACCTTCATCGAGGATTGAGTATAATGCGTCCATTATGGATGGCAAATTCAGATGATAGAACCGCCAAATCCATCAGCGATCAGTTTTTGATTGGAGATGCTTTGCTCGTGGCTCCGATAGTTTGTGAGAGTACTGTGAAAAGAGATATATACATCCCAGCAGGTATCTGGAACGACCAACTACGCTCTACCTTAGTAGTTGGACCTAAGTGGCTACACGACTACCATGCAGGTTTGTTTGAGATTCCCCATTTTGTGTTCATGCGAGTGTATAATTGAAATGTAATTAAAAGGTAGCACATAAAGTTATGCATAAATTGTTTGAGTGTCGGGAAACTGGAAAATAGTCAGTGTGTGAGCGGATTTTTGCACGAATCTGTAATTTGTAAATAGTGAAACTTGAAAAACTGTGCTAAACGTAATGTATTATTTCAACAAACAAAATAGATTATATATGCATATCAAGCATGGATAAAATATTTGTGTTTCTAAGGAACTGAACGAGCTGTTGTGTGCTTGCCGTGTTAATATATGACTTGAAACTCATTTGTGTGTCTGAATTAGCCGTGGTAAAAAAACACTGAAAGACCATTCTGTTCCATGATTTGATAATAATTTAAGGGCAAATTTAATTTGGGCGAAATGTTTGAGATCCTGAAAGTGATATAGTGTAATTATTTTGAAAAGCTTAATTATATTCAACTGCGATGACAAAAAAAAAGAGTTCGCCACTTCAATTTGTGTTATTGTATTTGTAATTTTTGATTAAATAATTTCTAAATCGAACATTGTCACCGTGCATCGTCTAATAAAGATGAATTGGGTACATGCTGTTCCTAAATGTTCCCGGTATTTAATAGCTGTTTCAGAAAAACTTGATCAGTTCAGATGGGGAGGGGGGCCATCTTTCGATGCCTAATTTATTTCTCGATTTAGCTACATGGCCCGATTTGTGACACAAGTTCAATTGTAAAAAGCGGATATTTTGTGCAGACATTTAACTGGAATCAAACGAATCCAATATACTAGTATATACAATGTGATTAGCTAAGAACAATAAACCCCAAGTGTCTGTGGCAAATGTACATGCCATGTTTGTCCATGTCTTCAGCACCACTCACTGAAGTAAGCTGACCATCACAATAATTTTTCACCCCAGGTCAAATGAACCAACGTTATTTTTGTTGGTGACTTCCCTAACTCAAGTATGTTTACATACTGATCCTCCCCCCAAGTCATGAATATTCGCCAAAACCTGGCATAAAATATATATTCAAATACCAAAACGTCAACGGTAACATAAATTACCACACCAAAGGGGTTAGGGTGGGGGGAAGAGAGAAGTGCTATAAAGAGACGGTATCATGAAATCAGTGGAAGGAAATATAGCACATGTATTTATTAACAACTAGAAGAACGCCCGGCTTCACTCGGGGGTCATAACCCCGAAACCGGAAGTGGTAGACTAACGCCACCTGGCCTATGTTACTCCCCGGTCCGAGGTACCCCTATACCCCAAATTTCAGACTCGGGGCAGACCTAGTGTAGCCGCTAACCCCGAACAGACAGACAGACAGACAAACAGACAGGCAAACGAACGACAGTCACAAATATTAGTATAGATAAATGCCATATGTAACCCAGTTTCACAAATAATATTCCATAACTTTAAAGTCCGATAAGACAATACATATCGCAAGTACTTTTTCAAAAATATTTTGGTCCAATAAAATATTCGAATCGGCTCATCCAGTTTTGACCAGATGAAGTTTACACTGCTTTGTTTGTCTGATCTCTCGCATTCTGTGTAGACAACCAACTACACACACACGCCTTTAAAGGAAAATATTGGTGCCAGTCATTATCACGTATGTGATAGAGCTGGTTAAACACATTCCAAATATAATTTTAACACAGAGATCATTGCTACGATAGCTGAGTAATACAGGTTTCCTGAATCGGAAGTGACGACCGCCAAAGGAAAACACGAGTCATGCCTCTATATAACTGACTGATGTGACGAGTGATAACAGATACACGGACGAATTTCTGCTCACTAATAATTCTTTCGAAGACCAAAAGTTGTTATACGGGACTGTAATAGGATACCTGACAATTCAATAAGGTAATTGAATGTCATTAGATAAGAGAACACGAGAAAAATAGAAATAGTCCGTACATTCCCTTGTTTATATTCATTCTATACCTTATAAAAACATGGTAATGCACGGACTTTTTCTGTTTTTCTTTCGTGTTCTCTTATCTTGTGGCAGTCAATTCTTTTTATGAATTGTCAGATATCCTCTCACAGTCTAATACAACAACTTTTGGTCTTGGAAGGAATTATTAGTGAGCAGAAATTCGCCCGTGTATCTGTTATCACTCGTCACTTCAGTCAGTTATATAGAGGGATGCCTCGTGTTTTCCTTTGGCGTTCGTCACTTCCTATTCAGGAAACCTGTATTACTCAGCTATCGTAGCAATGATCTCTGTGTTAAAATTATATTTGGAACGTGTTTAAAGTTACAATTTCATATTTTCTAAGAAAGTCAAAACATAATTATTTCTATGTCTTTTGCTCAATAGGTTGTCAACTCACTATTATACGATCATAGGTGTCATTCTCAAACTTAAAACTCATTTACACCGGAAATAATAACACAATTACCTCCCAATTACCCCCCTTGTTTTCTATTCTCCACCATAGAGTAGTTATCTTCAAAAGTTGGAATTTGAAGATGAAAATGATATTTTTGCCAATTTCTCAACTGGCAATAGTGAATTATAGGATTAATAGGATTATTCTTTAACAAGGCAGGACTGTTTATAGATACCATCTATTTTATGGCTTTATTTTAATAAATTTTAAAAATATAACTTAAAAATATGAAATTGCAACTTTAATTAGTTCTATCACATATGTGATAATGACTGACACCAATATTGTCCTTTAAGACCAGCATCTCGGGTGCTTGTGATTAAAGGACAATATTGGTGTCAGTCATTATAAAATATGTGATAGAGCTCGTTAATTACATCCCAAATATAATTTTAACACAGAGATCATTGCTACGGGAGTTGTGTAACAAGCACGTGAAGAAACGGGAAGTGACGTCAAACATGACAAACATGAGTTGTCCTCTATATAACTGACTGAAGTAACGAGCGGTAACAGACAAACGATCGAATTTCATTTCACTGATAATTCCGTTGAAGATGAAAAGTTGTTATATGAGACGATGAGAGGATATCTGACAATTCAAAAAAAGAATTGGCTGTCAGTAGATAAAAGATAACGAACAAATTAGAAAAAAATCCGTGCATTACCATGTTTTTCATTAAGAACAGAATGAATAAAAACGGGGGAATGCATGGGATTTTTCTACTTTTTCTCGTGTCCCTTATCTAGTGACAGCCAATTCTATTTTTGAATTGTGAGATACCCTCTCACCGTCCCATATAATAACTTTTCAACTTCAACGGAATTATCAGTGAAATGAAATTCGATCGTTTGTCTCTTACCGCTCGTTACTTCAGTCTGTTATATAGAAGGAAAACTCGTGTTTGACATGTTTGGCGTCACTTCCCGTTTCTTCACGTACTTGTTACACGTCTCCCGTAGCAATGATCTCTGTGTTAAAATTATATTTGGAATGTTTTTAACCAGTTCTATCACATATGTAATAATGACTGACACCAATATTGTCCTTTATTTTAAATTTGTTTACTGTTGCAGAATTTGTCTACTTGATTTTGTGTTTTATATCCGATTATTTCCATTTTGAAGACGAATTCATAATTGAATTAATTACTTATTTGTCATCATTACACGTGTCTATAAAACGATTTTTGGAATATATATGTATGGCAATGATTGTCATATATTAGGTCTCGATTCATGCAAGTGCAATTGGCGACCTACATGTTCTTATTAAATTCTTTTACTTGGCTAGTCAGGTTGCTTCTATTTTAAGAAGAATCAATAAAGAAATAGAGCTTTTCAATCGTGTCAGAGCAGAATAACGCATTTCATGCGTTATTGTGGTACAAAAACATCCATTTAAGATGGGAACAGTCAAACAAAATACGATATTTGACGTAAAACAATTGCCGTCATGTCAGTGGATTTCCGAAGTTAATTGAAGATGACCTCTATCAAACGCCTCCACCTTTTCATTGTACACGATACTGCATCATAATAAATTGAATCCTGAGCCTAAATTGCGACTGCCCGAGAAAAAAACTCATTTGGACAACATATCAAAAATCGATTCAACGATCAACATGCAAAAAAAAAAAAAAATAATAATAATAATTGACTGTCACAAGATAAGAGAAAACGAAAACAATAGAAAAAGTCCGTGCATTACCATGTTTTTTATTAAGTACAGAATGAATAAAAACAAGGGTATGTACGGATTATTTTTATTTTTCTCGTTTTCTCTTATCTAGTGACATTAAATTACTTTTTTGAATGGCCAGATATCCTCTCACAGTCTCACATAACAACGTTTGGTCTGCGAACAAATTGATAGTGAGCGGAAATTCGTTCGTGTAGTGTTAGCACTCGTCACTTCAGTCAGTTATATAGAAGGATAATTCGTGTTTACCTTTTGCTTACGTTACTTCCTTTTCTTTAAATCTTCATTACGCGTCTATCGATATTGTCCTTTAAAAGCAAAACTAGGAGAAGGCAATTGTGTAAGTAGTCTCGGTCACCCAGAACCTTCTGGTCTTCAACGTACGGTCTGGGACCGTTGTCAATATTTGACGAAAAGTCCATTGCCAATGCATAACCGGGAGTTTGGTTTTTAATGTGGTTGATTGTCCAGTATCTTTGGCGAAGTCAAGTAAGAGTTGCGCCCATTCCGGCAATAAATCCTATAATTCTTGCATTAATATAAACAGACATGAATCGTGACGACGAATTAGGGTTAATTTTAAAAAAAAACATATATAGCTCATGATGAAAGAAATTTTACAATAAAAAGAATTAAAAGTGTTGGATATGTGAAATGACATTCTTAAATTAATTTCATAGGCGTCAACATCTTGGTTTAGGACGAGTCAAGTGGATTTTTTGTGAAATGACATTCTTAAATAGGCGTCAACATCTTGTTTTAGGACGAGTTACCTCCCTTAGACTGGATGATAGAGACTATTGAGTAAGTACCCCACCAGTATAAAAAATATGCCATTTACAATAAAAAGATTAAAAGTGTTGGATATGTGAAATGACATTCTTAAATTAATTTCATAGGCGTCAACATCTTGGTTTAGGACGAGTCAAGTGGATTTTTTGTGAAATGACATTCTTAAATTAATTTCATAGGCGTCAACATCTTGTTTTAGGACGAGTTACCCCCCTTAGACTGGATGATAGAGACTATTGAGTAAGTACCCCACCAGTATAATAAATATGCCATGACACGAGCGCAATGCTGATACTTCTTTGTCATTATTTTATAGTGAGTTATAATGAAACTACACCACGACTTGTACGTCCACATCTCTTTTCAGCGACTTATAGGCTACAGTTTTTATAATTTTTTTTTAAAGGAAAGATTTTTGGAAACTTACATTATAACAAGTCGATGATCTCCATTTCTTTTCAGCAAAATACCCCTTGTTTACCGAAAACTTGCTATGTTTGTCGGCACAATATGGGCCATACTTTTCATAATAAAAATTCTGAAACTTTCAGGTAACTTCTTTTGTAATAAGATAAGGACTCCTATTTCTATTCGGCAATATATTTTAGAGTTATACCCCCTTTTTGTTGAACACTATCTAACCAATTGTTAGCATGAAAAGGTTCCGAAAATTTCAGAAAAGTTGCTTTATGACTAGAAAATGATTTCTGTTTATTTTCATTTAGAGTTATATCCCCTGTTTGTTGAAAACAATCTAAACTACTTGTTAGCATGATAAAGTTCACAGTTTTCATAAAGAAATTCCGAAACTTTCAGAAAAGTTGCCCTATGACTAGAAAATGATTTTTATTTCTTCTCGACGTAATTAGATTTACTAACATGGATAAAAGCTATCTTCAGGTCCGAGTTTTGTTCGGATTTCAAGAAAAATGTTTGAAATCACTGTGAACGCCATATAGGCTACAGTTATTAACGGATTTAGTAGTGTGAAGCTTTTTGTTCATGAAAGGACGAACCATTTCGATATTCAGCGCTCAATAACCTTCCGTTTCAGAG